GTGTTTTATTCTGGTTCTTATTTTTAGAGTTGTTTTTGTGTTGTGATGTTCTTTCGTGCAAGTTTTGACTGGTTTCACCTACGTAGACACAATTACAATCTAGGCAATTAAGCTTATAAACTAGATTACTTAGGACTCTTAGGTTAAATTTCGATTTTAATTTTGTAAAAAGAGTTGAAAAAGTGTTTTCGGAAGTAAAAACTACTCTAATTATATTTTTTAAAAAGTTTTCTCCACGGGTAATGTAATTCTTTAATGAAAGGTAAACTTATAGTTCCGACGTAGTTTTCAAGGTTTGGATTTTCAATTGAATTATTGTGATGGTTTTGGAGATATAGGATTCTATTTTTTGTTATGGATTGGATGAGGTGTTTGTGGGTAGGAGTTTTTGGTTAGGATTTGTGAAATGATAGATAGATTCTTTCTTAAAAATTTACTGTGTGATAATAATAATGCGTGGTCTATTAAGTTTGTGATTGTGCCTATTTTGATAGAGAGGGGGTGGTAAGAATGGTAATTAAGATAACGGCCTGAGTATGTTGGTTTGTGATACCAATCAGTTATTATATTATTATTTTCGCGAAAGAGTTGGACATCTAAGAAACTGATAGATTTATTATTTTCTAATTCAGAAGTGAATTGTAGGTGTTGTCACTGTTTGGGGTGGATGTTATGATGTTATCAACATATCATATAAAGTTTTTATAAAATCGCGAGTTTTCTGAAAATAGTTTGTACTAAAGTAGTGAATCTGCTAGAATCCATCAAGATGTCTATGATGAAGTGAATTCTAGATGGAATGTGAATTTCTTTAATTCTGGTGGAAATGGCGCTCATTAAACCATATGATTTAAAAGAAAAAAACTTCGTATATGCTTCTTATTTGCATGATAACACACTCAATTTACACGCAAAAAACTTGTAACAGCACTCATTTTAAAGCTTATGTTAAGCACTATAAAACCCAATTGCACCGAAATGCATAAAATGTAAAACCTCGACACTAGATGGCTCTAAATGCAACAATTAAATCTTGAACGAAATAAAAAACGACTTTGCTCTTTCAAATCTTGCTTAATATTTTTCCTAGAACACTTTATGTAATACCGATTGATTGAGATTTTTATTGACATTATTTTGTTCATTACATGATTTTTGTTAAAATGTATATTTTAGAAGCTATTTGCAAAAAAACGAAGTAAAACGCCAAAAATATATGAATCTTTAGTGGCCAGTAACTTGAAAAGTATTAGTTTTTTTGAAAAACTATAAAAGACATTTTTTTCTTATGATTAGTTCTTATATCGATTTCCGACGTTATTTTGAAAAAATGTAATTACACAATTGAGAAGGGGTGTCAACCCCCGGGGGGGATGGCGCAACCCGAATTGTTTTCACTTTTGAACTTGAGGGTAAGATGAACCTAATTCCAAAATTTCATTCAATTTGGAGCACAGTAAAAAATTCAGAGGTTATACCCTTTTTTCCTCTCCGTTTACTGCACTAATGTGTTGAAGGGCTATTTCAGCTAAAGGTGGGGAGGCTGGAGATTCCATTGGTGTACCAAATGTTTGGAAATACAATTTACTGTTGAACTCAAAATATGCGTTGGAAGTTAAAAAAATTATTGTTTCTCAAAACCAGTGTAGGGAAATTGTGGTATGGATGGATATATCATGCCATTTTTTAGTTATGGCTTCAAGGATAAGGTCTAATGGAACGTTTGTAAACAATGATACTACGTAACTAATTAAAACGCTATCATTTGGAACTGTAATTTGTTTAAGTTTTTCGACAATAAAGTGAATATATATATATATATATATATATATATATATATATATCTTGAGGATTTTTTGTTCGACGTTGAAACATATTGCAATGAATAAAACAGCCAATGCGTCGAATGTAAAGAATTTATTTTAATTTTTTATACGTTTCGAGACTAGATGTGTCTCATCATTCAGCTAAAAGAAATTCACATTATAAAGAAAAAGTTTTAAAAAATGAATTTATATTGGAAAAATTAATTGAAAACAACAATTATACACACCAGATCAGGAAAAACCACACTAATTAACACATTTTTCAACACCACAATCACATATTACTACTGTAGGAAAGCAAAAATAATTTAAGAAAAGACCAAAAAAGGTAAAAGTAAAATTGTATGAAACACATATTTTGTTTTTAGCCGTTAGCATAGCGACACGGTTTGACTTATTTACGTCGGCGACGAGTAGTACGCTATGCAACGCCAGAAGGCGAGCAAGGAACAGTGGGGATATCAGGGGCGTAGTAGAGAGTCAGATTTACAGAAATTAATTATATTTTGATAACTTTCTGAGAGTAAGCAAGGAGAACTGCGTTTGTTCACACAATTTGAATTTAAATAGATAAAACATGATTCAGAAAATCTTCTAAGGTCTACATTTTTTTCTTTATATAAAATTATAGGATGGTCAGTATTAAAAGAGTGTTTGAAATTAATAATGTGCTCAGAAAACATTGTTTTTAATTGTCTAGGGTTTTTTGAATTATAAATATGTTGATTCATTCTTTTGCTAATGTATTGAGAACTTTCACCGATGTAACAACTGTCACAATCTAAACAATTAATTTTATAAACGGCATCGGTGATTCTGTCAGACGGAGATTTTGATTTTAAAGTAGAAAACAGGGTACTGAGTGTGTTATCAAAAGTAAAAACTAAAAGAAAACCTTCAACCGAAAAAAGTTTTTTTAAAAAATAAGAAAAGCTCCATAAATAAGGTAAACAAATAATGCCTTTATATTTGCTAAATAAAGAAGAAGAATTTGAATCAGCGGTAAAATATTTTTGAACAACGGATGTGACATTATTATTATCAATATTGGAAACGGTCATTTCTTAAATTATTTTTGCTTTCCTACAGTAGTAATATGTGATTGTGGTGTTGAAAAATGAGTTAATTAGTGTGGTTTTTCCTGATCTGGTGTGTATAATTGTTGTTTTCAATCAATTTTTCCAATATAAATTTATTTTTTAAAACTTTTTCTTTATATTGTAAATTTCTTTTAGCTGAATGATGAGACACATCTAGTCTCGAAACGTATAAAAAATTAAAATAAATTCTTTACATTCGACGCATTGGCTGCTTTATTCATTTCAATATATATATATATACAGGCTGGGTCCTACCTTGAATGCAATGCATGCGAAAAATGCGGGCGTACGCCTTAGGGGCCGCCAAAATAAGATTCGGAAATAAAATGTATTATATATTTTTTTAAATATTAAATTAAGAATACTCCATAGATTATAATAAACAATCAAACTTAACTATGGATACGGAGACACATAAAGCATATTTAGTTTGCAATGTGATATCAGTAGAAACAATTAACCGATTAATAACTCCGCAAACTTTTTTTGTTTAAAGTTAAGGTGTAATCGAAAAAGAAATTATTTGTGTTCAATCCCATAAGCTCAAACCGGCGAAAGATTAAATTAATTATTGACGAAAAATTGCGAACTGATTAAGTTGAAACGGAAATTATTAAAAAAATAGATACAAATCATAACAGACAAAAATGGAAAATGTATAGTCAGTGCTTAGAAAATGGCTTATTCATTCCGAGAAATTGAATTGTAACTTTTGTTTTTGTTAAATGTTACGCATCTGATGAACTTTGAATTTGGAAGGCATGAAAAATGGAATCAAAATTCACTTTGGAACAACTTGCAAATTCATAGCTCTTACTCTAAAATTGATTATTAACTATGCAGAAATAAAACCGATACAAATTTATTTAGTTTTTTTTGTTTCAATATAGTTTAAGAAATATGTAATTTCTTTGCATTTTTTACTAATCTTTGGACAATAAAACTTAACTTTAAAATAACAATGTGATGGGAAAGTAAAGATTAATTCAATTCGGCTCTTGCGATATGAACAAGGAGAAGTTTACGATGCAATTTTGGATATTGTAAATAATAAAAAAAATAAATTAAAATAAAATTTAAAAAATCCAACGTGAAATACTGTTATAGTGTTATGTTTAAAAATAAAAGGCTAGTCCTTTTACTCTCTTGGCATAATTTTCTCAATAGAATAAATCGCATAGTAAATAAGTAAAATGTTTCAAAACCCAAATACGTTAGAAATTCTTGAAAATTTAATACACAATGTTCTATTGATCACTTTATTTTAGTCAATTACACCACGTTCACTATATACGTATTATACGAGGTGTGTTCAAAAAGTACCCGGAATTACTAATAATTAAATTTCGCGGGTCTGGAGTGTCTGATTGTCAAAATTTTTTTTTATTGTGTTGGTATACATGCCCCTAAAGTATGATGAAATTTTCAGCTATATTCACTGTTTACTTTGTCTGTGGTAGTCGCTAAGGTTCGACGTGTTTTTCTGAGCTCGGCGATTTTTACAATGGAAGAATTGAAAAGTCAAAGAATTTGTATTAAATTTTGCGTAAAAAATGAAATAAAGTGTTGCAAAGTGCAAAAATTCACCAGATATGGCTCCGTGTGACTTTTTCCTATTCCCAAAGTTGAAGAGACCCATGAAAGGACGGCGGTTTTCCTCGATTGAAGAAAATCGCTGAGAGTGCTCAAGGACATATCAAAAAGTGAATATCAAGGGTGCTTCGAAAATTGGAAAAAACGCTGGCATAAGTGTATTATATCTGGGGGGGACTACTTTGAAGGGGACCACATTAATGTAGACGAATAAATAAATATTTTTTTGAAAAAACGAAAATTCCGGGTACTTTTTGAACAGACCTCGTATATATCTGTTTCACATATTACTCAACGCCTACTATATCACGCTGTCATTATCATAGTTAATATTCGGCTATTCTGATCAATTCTCGTCCTCGAGAATGCAGTTTTCGAATTTCTTGGGACGTGTGATTGTCCGTTTCTGTCTCCTCTTCTTCGTCACTGTTATTAGATTTGTCATCATTACTGTCGTCTGAGTAACTTTCGTCTTCTTGCATCAGGATGGGCACTTGGCTTTCTCCACACTGCATTCGGGAATATGCATCTCCGGTTTGCAGTCCTTTGATGGTTTATCTCCCGCTGATTTGGATTGTTTGCAATCATCCTCTTTAGGTTTCTTGGGACAGTCGGCAGATTTGGTGCGTTTCCTTCTACACTTTGGTTCACATTTTGGTTTTGGTGGTGGGCATTTTGGTTTAGGTTCCTCACATTTTGGTTTTGGCGGTGGACACTTCGGCTTCTCTTCACATTTCGGTTTTGGTGGAGGTTTCGGTTTTTCTTCATTTCTCTGCGCCACGGTTAACCAGTCTTCTTCTATTAAATAGTTATTCAATACCATAAGTCCATCCACACACTCTGTCTCTTCAGCTTCAATTATGGTATTTCGGGATAGAGCATCCACATGTCTCATCTTCTCTGCTGGTCGATGAATCACCTCATAGTCAAATTCTTGTAGTTTCTTTTCAGGTATGTCCTCATCTAATTTTATTGTATCCATTGTTAGTTCTCTTACATCTGATTTTTCCTGGGTTTGTTCACATTCATGGCACTCGTCGCATTTTGTAACTTTATAATCCTTTTCAATGTTGTTTCATTATTTTATATATTCAGTATCGGTATGATGGTCTCACCCCCTCTCATTGACACTACTGCGGTCTTTGTTAAAGCACTTGCCTCTAATGGAATTTTTATTGCCTCAGCCCTAACAATTTTCTCCTTAAGCGCTAACTCTATTGCACCTACATCATCATTATCATCTACCTTCTCCATTTCCTCATAGCACACTCCTATTGGCTCTTTCTCTATTGGCACAATACAATCATCGATCTCGCTTCCCAATACCATTTTGTATACCTCATGATTAGGCACTACACCAGACTTCACTCTCTCATCACGAACCATCGATACCATCATTTTCATCATTTCATCTTCTCGGCGTCTGCTTTCCAAATACATTTTGTATAACTCTCGTAGCTCATGAGTGTATATCTCAATAATGTCAAATTAATCTTTGAATAATTCTTGAGTAATCCTCCAGTTATCCTTGAGTTATCCTATTAATACACAATGTTCTATGGATCACTTTATTTTACTCAATTACACCACTTTCACTATATACGTATTATATATATATATATATATATATATATATATATATATATATATATATATCTTATATATAAAAATGGAGCTCTCTTTCAAATGTCCGAATAAAACTCGAAAACGGCTGAATCGATTTGGCCAGTCTTAGTCTTGAAAAATTCGTGCCAATCCAGAGAAAGTCCAAAAGGTGAGAAATTATTTCAAATCCGCGTAGAAACTTTACATTTTTAATTTGAAAATTTTTATTGAAGCGTAATTTAAATAAAACAATTGACGGTGGCAATTTCGTGAAATGTCAAACGCTTTTGACAGATGATGTTCAATTGCGTTTAATAGGATGTTTTACGCGAATATTATTTAATTATGATAAATTTGTAGTAAGTAGTTTTGTTTGTAGTTTTATTTAAATACAAAAACGTTAGTAAACGGGCAGCAAGTGTTACTAGAGACTCAAAATATCAACTTTTTTGAAATGTTAATATGAAAATGCACTTTTTGGCATATTTTTCTCAAACACGGTGCTCTGAAAGATCTCATTTGTATAATTATCTACTCATTGGTATTTATAAAACATTTTCTAGGTTATATTATTTTTTATTTATGTTATTTAAATTCAGAATCAAAATTTGGTATCGATCAAATGGACATTTTATCGAATAACATTTTTCCAGTTATAATTTCCCAGAATTTATCGCAGAATATATAGTAATATATGAAGGTCCGGGATTAAAAAGGTCCACCACCGATGTGCCAAAAATCAGTAAAGTTAAGCATTGTTTAACAACAATATTTGAAAGTAGAGGAAAAAAGATGTATAGCCAGCTACAATCTTGATTTGAAAACGATAATCTTTGAAATGGGGGAGATAAACGGTAATCTTTGAAAATCCATAATAAAAGTATTTTCTTCCGTTGGTAGTTTTAGCATTAGTTAAAAATGTAATTATTTGGTAAAATATCTTTAAAACAATAATAAGGCTTTAAATCTTTTTGCCACCTGCCCGTTTCAAGTTACCCCGCCTATAGGGTAAAAAGGTCTAGATACCAAATTTTTGAAAGAAATCAAAAAAGCACATTTCTACAATGATGAAGTAGAAGGCAGTTTACTGAACTCAGATAATTGTTCGTTTGATATGTGTTATTTGCTGTGATATAATTGTTTTGGTTTTCACAATATAGTTTATATTTGCTCAAAGTCAAATTAGACCTTTGTGTCTCGCCCTGCTCTACATATATACTTTTTATTAAATTTACTTTAATTCATCGAATGTTACTTGAAACTTTTTAAAAAGCAGGTCAAAGAAGAAATACTTAATTCATTTTTTATCTCTCCTCGCAAAAAGTTGAAAATTTTGTATAAGCTCAGTAGTATTATTTACTATTATACACAAAATCCAGAATCCAAAAAGAATCTGAAGAACTTGAAACGTAATTAATAAGCCGAAAGACCAAAAAAGACGATGTTTTCTATAGAAAGTGTATAAAACTTGCAGTTTGATTGTATTGACAAAATATAGACAAACTAATGGGGTTTATTGTTTTTATAATACCTAATTGTATACAGCATTCAAACAACACATCCTTATGCACTTAAAGTATTAATATTCTTGATTCTCTAGAAATGGTTTAGAATATATCTTATTTAGCAAAACAACGTTTGCCGGGTCAGCTAGTATATATATATATCTGTTTTACATATTACTCAACGCCTATTGTATCACGCTGTCATTATTATAGTTAATATATGATTATGATCAACCCGCGAATCTCCTCGATTTTCTATATAAATTTTAAATCAATATATTTTATACGCTTTTACGTTATATCTAATTTTTTGTGTACTAAATCTAAAATTATGAAAAAATAATTAAAGATATACGTAAATATTTTTATAAT